CCTTTCTTACCTACCCCATTCAGCTACATGACGGATTCTGTATTACCACAGCAAATACTGCAAGTTAGCACATACATTATTGAGAAATAGAGAAATGCTGTCGGTGTAAGGTAAAAGTTATCTTGATTCAGACAGGGTTCTGTCAGGATGTTTTAAGTTTTGCACCATTATTAAAGGCAGCTAAATGCAGCAAGCCCTGAAGGAATCTGGCCCTGTATATGATGCCCATACCCTATATGCCCATCACTTCCCTTTCTTCTTCTTGTGTCAGTAGAGTAATAGGCTTTGCATAAGCATGATTTACCTCAATCTTTACTGGGGGCAGGGTTGGGGGAACCAAGCACAAGGCAATGAGCCAGAGCCATCCAGTCTGCCATGACAGTATTTCACATCAAAACTGCTACTGCTCCCACACCTCTGATGTTTATGTCCCTCTGTTCCTATCTCCACAAATCCAAAGCATCAACCCTTCCTATTCCTCCTTCCATCAAGCTATCCTCATCTTTCTTTTGTCTTGAGAAACAACCTATATTTCCTAAGCTATTTTTTGTTAGGAATTTAACATGTCTTCACTGTGTCAATATTTTTATTAAAATTATATTGTTCCTAGTGCTGCTCTAAAAACACAGGTTGATACGTTTTAAGTATTCTGCCCCTATTTTTCCCATTAGCCCTATAATAGTCAGTTTTAGAACTCCCTAAAGGTTTTTCAAGAATGCATACAACAGAGCAGAAATGTCCGCACTTGCAGTTCCTGAAATACACCATGTACTTCAATTCCACAGTACTTTGCTCATTCCGTTTCCTTACTTGGACTATGCATCCCTTCTCAAATGCAGCTACCATAGAAGAGAAGATCCTTTCCTTCAGGCATAGTTAAACTCCATTCCTTTATTCTACTGACACACTGAATATGTTACTGTTGCACTTAGCAGCCTCTACTGCAATCATTTTCATTCTAAAGTTTTCTTAGACTTTAAGATGCATCAGAAACACCTGGAGAAGCAAAACACAAGACTGATGGGTCCCATCGCCAAAGATTCCATAGGTCTCAGATGAGGCTTGAGAATTTGCATTTCTAAAAAATTCCCAGATCATACTGCTGGTTCCAAGGACCACACTTTGAGAACTGTTATTTTAGACCAGTGCTGTCCAGCAGAATTTTCTGTGATGACAAGAGCTGTCTGATATGGAACTACCAGACACATACGGCTACTGAGTACATAAAGTATGCATAGTGGCACTGAGTCTATTAGTTCCCTATTGCTCCTCTGACAAATTACCACAAACCTAGTGAGTGAGCGTACAGAGAAGATTTCACAGACCTGTGGTTATTACAATTTCAGTAACACCTAACTAGCTCTAAATACTATTGGGCACTTAGAAAAATGCATTTAATACTGTCCTAAGGCAATAAACTTCTGGATGGACATTAGTATCTCATTTTCTACAAGTGCAAAGCAAAATCCCTTCAGGTTAAACACTCGACAGGCAAACATAAGCGGGCACAGGATAAAGAGCAAGTACTGCAACAAAAAGGAGTACCAGGTCAGATTTAGAAACTCCTCTGCTGCCCCTCAGTGCTTGAAAATTAGCAACTGTTTGTACTAAAATACAAACCAACAATAAACAATAAAAACTAAATGAACACATTCCTGTAAGTTCAAGCTTACCAAGTCCAAAACTGAAAAAAAGATCATTTCTCCACTAACATGTCATCTCCTGACATCTCTACTTCTTTGAGTAGCACAATAATTCCTTAATAGCCCACCGACACTATTATGCAATGTCTCTCCCACTTATCCCTGTTCTCGCAATCTGACTTTATTTCAGGCTCCCACTATGGCTGTCTAATTATCTCCTCTCTCTAAATACAAGCCACACACAACTCTTGGGTTAGGTCTTCTAAAGCAATCCTACTCATACCACTTCCTGCCCAAGAACTTTCCATTGCTTCCCAACGTCTACTGAATAAAGTCCAAACTCCTTACCTTGATATACATACACTGGCACCTACCTTTCTAGCCCCATTATTCACGATCCCAAGGTTCCCAAAATCCCAAGGTTCAGTGAAACTGGGTTCCTATTTGCAAATACAATTCTTGCCACCACACCTATCTATGGGCTCAAGGGCAAGTCCGGGTGTGAATATCCACAAAAAAGGTGATAAGTGAGTTTTTGGAAAAGTCACGTGATATATTACATAACTAATATTATATTACATACTGCATGGACTTCATGCAGTAGTAGAATGGGGGATCCACTGAAGTTTTTTAAAGCAGGGGACTATCATGATCAAAACTGCATTTCAGAGGTTCAACTCCAGCAAGAAGAGTATAAAAAATATTAGTGACAAGAGGGACAGAAAAGACCTAAAATAATGCAGGAGACAATGTGGGGTCACTAAGGTATTAGTACTGGAAATAAAGACAAGAAGCAGATCTGAGAGATTTCCTTGGCAGAATCAAAGATTTAATAGAAAATATATTCAAATGTCCACTCCTGTCTTTGACAAGACAGCACCTGGGGCACCAGGGCATCCTGTAGCCTCTTCCCCAGCACAATGCAAATCTGATCATGTTTCCTCCTCTGCTTAAAACCCTTCAGGGCTTCCTGCTCATTTTAGGTTAAAAAGCAAATTTTGTCACGATTTTGTTTCCAAAGCCCTGAGTGACCTGGCCTCTGCCCACCCCTTCAGTGTCAGCCTCCATTATTCTCCCCAACTCCCCAGCAGTCTTTCCTCTGATCACATTGACTTTTTCAGTTCCATGAGAATGCTATTTGTGCCCTCCCACCACCGGGCCCATGCAGGGGATACTCTTTCCACGAAGCTCAACCTTCACTTAACTCAACTTTGACATTCTGACGTAAGTAATGTTTGAGCTTTCCCTGGCTACCCTATCTGTCTACTAGGCCAGGCTCTGTTACATATTCTTATACTACTGTGTCCTTTCTAGCCTTTTCAGTTTATGACTACATTTTTGTGGGATTCCTGGAGAATTGTTCATCTCACCCACTGGACTGTGAACTCCAAGAAAACCAGGACTGGCTCTGTTCACCCCTGTGCTCCCCAACTCAGCCAGGAACTAGCAGGCTGGCAGGTAATTAAAAACAAATTTGTTAAATTAATGAAATTCCCAATTTTTTAAGAGAATTCCAAATTTCCTAGCAGTTAAAAGGCAGTCCTGCTTTTAACTGAAATAAAGAACCAAAGACAACACGTCGAATTATTTGTAGAACATCCAGGTGAAGATGTCTAACAGACAATCAGAAACTGGAGTATGTAGCACAAAATATATAATTGGTATAGTTGAGAGTACTCTACTGAATTCACAGAGACCAGTAATTCTCCTGGAAAGGTAAGGAGGGAGAGGAAGGACTATGTATCAGAATCTCTTGAAAAGCAATTTCACACTTGCTCTCACTTTCCCCCAATTGAGGATCTCAATATATAATGAGAGTTGCTGATAGCAGTGTTGCACCTACAAAGAGTACAGGCAAAAGTTAAAACGCTGAGAACCATAATGATGGAATGAAGAGTTGTAAGCTGACTCATAATCTTTTGAAGAACAAATCCAGTGTATTCAGATGTGAAGGCAGAACAGATGACAGAAGGATCACCTAGACGTTTGACACAGGACACTGTGTTAAAAAGACTATATATGTGGAATCTAAAAACAGAACAAAAACAAAACAGCAATAGACTCGTACACATTGAGGAGGGACTTACTACAGGGGAGGGGGTTGGGGCAGTGGGGGTGAAATACGTGAAGGAGATAAAGAGGTTAAAAAAAAAAAGACAATCCATAGGAAGTTTTCTTTTTTTTAAAAAAAGATTGAGGGAATAAAATAAGCGTTTGTAGAAAAAAAAAACAGGAAAAGGCCAGGGGGATGGAGAGTGTATTTTTAGGCTCATGGGAAAGGCTTAATCTAATACAGCAAGATCCCCGAAGAAAGGGAAAATAATAACAAACACTACATTCTGAACACTATATGGCAGACACCGATCTCAATGTTCCAGAATACATTAACTTTAAATCGTTCCCATAACCCTACATAGTAGGTACTATTCTTTTTCCCGTTTTGCAGATGGAAGAAATAGATACAATTAAGAAACTTGCCTCAAGTCAAACAGCTGGTAAGTGGCAGATCTGACTGGTGTTTGATATCTCAGCTCTGTCTCTAAAACCAGATGACAAATTAAGAATATTCATTAGAGAAAAGAGTATAATTTTTTTTTGAAAGGGGCCATCTCTTGTAAAATGGCAAGAAACGCTAGAGATCTTTGGAGGCAAGGGAGTGAGGATTCCTGCTCTGAAGGTCCCCGTCTCCCTCCCATTAGAGAGGAGCTGAATGAGATGGGGGAAGGGCAGTGAGGGGAGGGGAAAGGTTTGGAACTGGAGCTGTGGAGAATGGAACAGACCAGGCAAGAATTAGAGTCAACGCCAACCTGATCCCTGAAACCCAAACGCCGAGATTCTGTGAATTCTCCGCTAACATCTGAGTTACGGCCTACTATGTGTCAAGCATGGTTCTAGGGTGCGTGGAGATCAAGATACCTTCTCTGAGAATAAGTCTCGGAAACAACCAACATTAATGATCACCCGACACGTAGGAGAAAGCCATTCCTCCAGAGACTCCCATCCTGAAGCCTCTAGGAGTACATTCCAGAACGAGATTGGTGCTTTAGGGTAGGGGCTGAGTGAGCGCTCGAGAGGGCAATTCCTAGGGCGCTCTCCCCCAGCCCCGGCGTGGGTCCTCTCCGGAGACCGCACAGTAACGCGAGTGCAAACGCAGAAGCTGCACCCCCGGTAGGGGAAGCGCGGCAGCCTGAGGACCCTGGACACCAGGCAAACCTCCGCCCCCCACGCTGGTGACTCTGCCGCTCCCTTCGACTCCTCGGCTCTCCAAACGCCGCCGACCTCTGCTCGGGGCACCACCGAGTCATGCAGCCTCCTCCCCGGCAACCCCTCGCGGACCGGACGCCCAACTCAACTTACCCGCCCTGAGGGGTCCGAGGCAGCCAGAGCTCCTTTCTAGACGCCAAGGTCTCCCTGGCATCTCCACCAATGCCAGGACGCAATCAGGACGCGGAGGCGGGACTGAGGGCCCGTGGCCAATCCGATCAGACGCAAAGCACGTCCCGGCGCACATAACTAGTTCCCGCCTTTGGGAGGGGAAAAAAGCCACAGTTGGCGCCAAACTCCGTTTTCTGAGCTTGAGAAAAGGGGCCGGACTGTGCTGCGGGGAGGGAGATGGGGCGGAGCCTTTCTGAGGAAGGGGCGGCACCTTGGGGAAGGTAGGGGTGGGGTCAGGGGAAAGTTCTTCTATGAAAAGTACTCTCTGAAACAGACGTTTTCACTTCTTTAATCCCATTATTCCACAAATTCTAGTGACTGCCAACCGCGTGCTAGACATGGTGCTGGGCGTTGGCTTGATAACAGTGAATAAGCACTGTCCCTTGCCTTCAGACTCTTTACTGCATGATAGGCAAACAACTTGGATCAGGATCTTGGGAGCTTTGAGGAGGAGATACCAGCACACTGGGGTGGGAGGGAGACAAGAGCTTTCTAGAGGACAGAATGCCTGAATTGTGTCACAGAACCAGCAGGAACCAAGGGTGCTGGTAGGGTCTTGCCTCCGGAGGCTGTCCCAGTGCCTTTGGTGAGGAAGTAAAACAAAGCCTACTTCCTCTGCTACCTTATCTGAGGATCTTGATCTTAATCTTGATCTCTAGCTGTTTCCTCTGTTCGCTCATATTAACTTGAAACTGTCATACCAACTTATTACACCTCATTTGGGAGAGTGTAATTTTTCGAAAAGACCCTCATTTGGGAGAATTTGTTCTGGGAGAAAACTGGCTTCCTAGATTCTTCCCAACCAGCTTTGTTTCTGAGAAGCTAGGCAAACAGGCAGACATTTCAGGCATTGAGACTGGGAAAGAATGAACGGTGTGCAACCACATGGTGTTCATTGCTCTGGAGCATATAATTCAAGGTATAAATGCAGGGGTCAAACCTTGAAAGACCAAATATATATATGGGATTTACCTTTAAATTATGAGGCGTGCAAGAACCACTGAAGGATTTTAAGCTTCGGATGGTCATGATCTGATGCATTATTAAGATCCTTTGACCCTGAAAAGGGAGATTTTCAGATGCTCTTGCAGTGATCCAAGGCTAGGGAAAATGAAGATCTCTTCAGATCTTCTTCAAGAAGATAGGAAAGGGAGGGCATGTATTTTAGAATGTTTAGGAGATAAAAACAACAAAACTGAACTTAGTAATTGAATGAATATTGGCTTCAGCATGCATGTATAATAATGGAATTCATTTTAAAAAATTTAGAAAATCGTTCTAAAATTCATATGGAACCACAAAAGGCCCCAAATAGCGAAAGGATCCTGAGAAGAAAGAATAAAGCTGGGGGAATTTGCTCCCCAATTTCAAGCTCTACTACAAATCCACAGTAATCAAGACAATCTGGCACTGGCACAAGAACAGACCCATAGACCAATGGAACAGAATAGAAAGCCCAGATGTAAACCCAAGCATATATGGCCAATTAATATATGATAAAGGAGCCATGGACATACAATGGGGAAATGACAGCCTCTTCAAAAGCTGGTGTTGGCAAAACTGCACAGCTACATGCAAGAAAATGAAACTGGATTATTGTTTAACCCCATACACAAAAATAAACTCAGAATTGATCAAAGACCTGAACGTAAGTCATGAAACCATAAAATTCTTAGAAGACAACATAGGCAAACATCTTAGAATATAAGCATGAGGAACTTCTTCCTGAATGTATCTCCTTGAGAAAGGGAAACAAAAGCAAAAATGAACTCATGGGACTGCATCAACCTAAAAAGTTTCTGTATAGCAAAGGACACCGTAAACAGAAAAAAAAAAGGCATCCTACAGTATGGGAGAATATATTTGTAAATGAGATATCCGACAAGGGGTTAACATCCAAAATATATAAAGAACTTACGTCCCTCGACACACAAAAAGCAAATAAACCAGATTAACAAATGGGCAGAGGATAGGAAGAGACATTTCTCAAAAAAGAAATTCAGATGGCCAACAGACACATGAAAAGATGCTCCACATCACTAATCATGAGGGAAATGGAAATAAAAACCACAATGAGATATCACCTCCCACCAGTTAGGACAGCCAGCATCAAAAAGACTAAGAACAACAAATGCTGACGAGGATGATGAGAAAGGGGGACCCTCCTACACAGCTGGTGGGAATGTACACTAGTTCAACCACTATGGAAAGCAATATGGAGGTTCCTCAAAACACTAAAAATAGAAATACCATTTGACCCAGGAATCCCACTCCTTGGAATTTACACAAAAAATACAACTTCTCAGATTTGAAAAGACATATGCACCCCTATGTTTATCACAGCACTTTTTACAATAGCCAACATAGGGAAGCAACTTAAGTGTCCATCAGTAGATGAATGGATAAAGAAGAGGTGGTACATATACACAATGGAATATTATTCAGCCATAAGAGAGAAACAAATCCTACCATTTGCAACAACATAGATGGAGCTGGAGGACATTATGCTCAGTGAAAAAAGCCAGGCAGAAAAAGACAAGTGCCAAATGATTTCCCTCATTTGTGGAATATAACAATGAAGCAAAAATGAAGGAACAAAATAGCAGCAGACTCAGAGACTCCAAGAAGGAACTAGTGGTTACCAAAGGGGAGGGGTGTGGAAGGGCAGGAGGGGAGTGAGGGAGAAGGGGATTCAGGGGTATTATGTTAGTACACATGGTGTGGGGGATCGCAGGGAAAACAGTGTAGCACAGAGAAGGCAAATAGTGAATCTGTGGCATTACACTAAACTGATGGACAGTGACTACATTGGGGTATGGGTGGGGACTTGATAATATGGGTAAATGTAGTAACCACATTGTTTTTTCATGTGAAACCTTCATTAGAGTGTATATCAATAATACCTTAATAAAAAATAAAAAATAAAAGATTTATTGAGAACATTGGATATACACCTCAAAAATAACTAAAGTTCCCTCCCACCCAACCATTGCCTTCCAAAAAAGTGACCCTACTATTGAAGTCCTTACAAAGATTCTTACTTTACTGGTACTCTCATAAATACACTACACTGAACAGAAAGTACTGATAGGTTTAAAAATATTCCCTTGGGAAAACCTAAATTAATGCTAGTTTGGGTACTAATAGATCTCAACTGGACAAATTAGTTTTTTTTTTTAAGAAGCAAAGAAATAAAACACAGTTATATATTTTATGGAGTCTGAACTCACAGTTGCAAATGTTGCTTCAATAAAATTTTAGCAATTCCTGAAGATGTGTGCATACTTAGATGAGGTAATCTACAATCTATAGTGTTGAAGGGGGTACAAAGTACACTGCAGTGTACATGGTATGCCAGCTTTTGTATAAGAAAGAATGAGGAAAAGAATACACAGATGTTTTCTTGTTTTTTCATAAGAAACATTTGAAGGTAAATTAGAACCTAATTGAATGGGTAAATTGTGGGGAAGACTGGCTGGAGGGGATAGAGAAGGGAGACTTTTTTTAAACAGACATGCCTTTTAATTTTTTTAAATTTAGCTTTCTGACTCTGTGCTTGTGCCTACAATACTTTCTCAACAATTTTCTGCTCTTCCATAAGGAAAGCACGCTTGATCCTGTCACACATTTAGCACACATGGAACCACCAGAGGCCCTGCTGACATGTTTTGTTTTGTTTTAGATAACCTCATGTAAGAATTTCAGGTCTTAGGGCTGGAAACCGTCCAAGTCGTCCTGGGCACACGCCACACGCAGATTTGGGTGCTTTCCCATTCTTCTTGGTATAAAGGTAAACAAGTCCACTACCAAGGGTTCTGGGCAGCCTAGTTTTGTTAGAGGCTGTACTGTAGGACAGCCTGCGACAGTATGTCAAACGCTGAGATATTCTGAGTGCCTTCCTCCTGACCCTTTATCTACCCCCTAGCTCAAAGCACTGTGCCTGAGAGATCCTGGCTCCTGCAACTCCCGGATATTGGAAAGGGGGTAGGGATGGGCAAAGGAAAAGCAACCGTACTTCCGGGGACTCCTTTGTGCCTTCTTTTCAAAAGCTCCATGTAAGTATTTTTCTATATGAATATGCATGGCTTGTCTTCCTTTTAATAACAGCAATACTGAGATACAATTCACGTACAATGTATTTCACCTGTTTAAAGTGCTGAGTTTGCCTTTTTATAAATATGTTACTTATATAACTTTCGAATCATGGAAGTGTTTCATATACTCAAAGACTGATTTGAATCAGAAAGAAAAATAATTGAACAGAAAATAAATTGAAATATATGAAACTGTGTAAAGAGAAATGCAACCACTTGAAATAATTATTTATTTCAAGTAACATTTGAATGCAGCGCTCTGACTGTATATCACTAATGGGACATTCTAAGCACAAAAAGAACTGCAAAGAAATGTTATGCTTCATGTAGCAGTTTTATTGTTAGTATTAATATTGTAATTTTGAAACTATTTTATATATATTATAGGATACAGAAATATGTAATAAGTTAAATTTTTCAGAACCAACATATTTAGTGAAAGAGAAGAGAGATCCAAACATAAAATCAAAAAAGTTAGGGGGGAAATCCTATACTTCATATATGAATTGGAAAGGTCAACATGAACTCTTAATTTTTAAAAATACATATTTCTGTTCCTTAAAGGGTCTGGAAGCAGTAACACCTCAGGAGCAGTACCTCATGAACACAACCAAGACCCAATACTATTTCCCACAAAAAGGGAGATTTCCTCTGGGACTCTTCCAATGTCTAAGCAGGTAAGTCCCTAAGCAGGGGGAGCACAGGCTAAAGAAGGAGAAGTATATCTAAAGGAGCAAGTATAAGAGATCCAGTACTCTGAATGTGGGTGCTAGGGGTTAGTGTGTACATTCCAGGCTAGCATTATATGTAATTTTAAAAATCCTCTTACTCAAAGAATGTAGATGAAAATGCTGGAAAATTCTGTTAGAAATCTCAAAAAGTGGATCTAGTTGTGGTCTATAAAGATGACTACAAGTTCTTTGCTATTTCCTCCATTTAGAAGTGGAGTTTAATTTCCAGCCCTTCAAATTTGGAGTAGCTTTAGTGACTTGCTTGACTACAGAATTCAAGGAGACTGATTTTCTAGGACTTTCAACTCCAGTACATTAAAATCTTCACAGTTTCTATCCAGGCTTCTTGGAACACTTTTTCGGTCTCAGAATCCCAAACTGCCATGTAGACATTCCAGCTTACAGTTTCAGCGGATCCCAGCCTTCCTGCCCTCCTTGCTAAGACTCCAGATGTGAGTGAAGGCATCTTGGACCCTCTAGAGCAGCCCATACAGTAGCTCAATACCACTGAATGCCCTCAGTTAACACCTCATCGGGCAGAGAATTGCCAGCTAAGCCCTGCCTAAATTCCTGACCTCCTGCCCTAAATTGCGACCTATTATAAAATTATAAAAACATTATAATATGTTTTATTATAAAATAAAATAAAACATAAGTCGTTATGTTTTTAGGTAGCTTGTTACTCAGCACTAGATAATTAGAACTGTAGTGATCATAACAAACCACAATAATGTAGAATTTTATTACAATTTTTAGCTGAAGTGTGGGAACAGAAAGTCAGAGGGTGACTTTAATGTTTGATGAACTTAATAATCACTCCCATTTATAGACAATAACTAATTAAATTCCCTTCAATATTTTAAACTCCATATATAAATGTAATACATTTGATCTGTTTTTCAAACACTTTGAATACTGGCAGGGCAAACATAAAAACCTGACAATTAAAACATTTCGAAATATCTAAACATGTAGTGAATCTCAACTTCTCTCAAACATTCTAACACTTTTAACATGAGTCAATTTCTCTTAACTTTTCAATTAAAATCAAAAGTCTGTGACTACGAACAAACAAATGAACTTATCTGCATTTCAAAGTAATATACCCACCTAGAAAAGGAAAAAAAGGAGACCAATCCTGGGAATTTTGGAACACGGTACTTTGACTGTAAGTATCAAAAACAAAAAAAAATCTTTAAATTTGCAAACAAATCTTAGTCTCCATTTAAGAAATTTGTTGTTTATAGTGGTAGGAATGTAGCAGTTCTGAAATTACATTATGTGCATTATAAAACTGAGAAAAGGAGAAATATATTGATTATTGTGGGAGCCAGTGTTCCCACTATGGGCAAAGGATGATTCAGATGGGCAAGGAATAATCCTGAGGTTTTGCATTCGATGAGATAAACGTGAATGATTTGAATCTATATGCCTCTTTACACACATGTCTATTATATATTTTATGTATTTTCATATTTCCTAGCTCTGTTCTCTGAAAGGGCCTAGAACAGTGATGCCTGAATAACAGTGAGCACTCGTAGTGTCCACATCTGGGTCTGTAAATACTATTCTTCATTAAAAGGAACTATTCAGAGATATGGATGATCCAAGAGTGGGGCAGGAGAGAAAATAGATGATCCTGAAATACCTTGTATGAAGAAATATGGTGATACTCAAAATATGATGGGGACAAACCCGAAGGCAAATGCTTAAGGATGAACCTGGGAAATGGAACCCTGTGAAATTGTTTGCAGAAACTTATTAATTGGTACATTTCTCTGAGGAAGAAGTCCCTAGCTTTCAATAGGTTCTCAAAGGGGTTGATAACCCCCTAAAAAAACTGTGAAGACTTCTAGTGTACAGCTTATATTGTACAGGGCAAATGTAGGACATGTATTGGTTTGCAATCTTAGGGGTTTCCCAGGTGAAACCTGAAACTGGCTTCCAGGTGCTGGGCCTCTCTCTGTACAGGGCAGACAGGACAGTGATTGAGAGATAGGGGTGCAGGGTCGGCAACAGGGTTCTCTATGAAGGGCTTACTGTATCTTTGTTCTTTCCCTGGATACTGGAGAAATACTATGTAGTGTGTAATTTCTTTGAAGTTTCTCTAAATCTTTAGTAACTAAAATCTATGATACCACTTTCCAGCCTGAGCTCACATCTTACCATGTCCAGAAGCTTTTCCTACCTTCTTGCTGGAGTTGACAGCTTTCCTATTTGTGTTCTTATAGCACCCTGTCCAGGAATCCCTATTACAGCTCTTTGTGGCACTATCAGTGTCTGTCTTCATCATAACATTGAAAATCTTTTAAGGTCACGGCTCCTGTCAATCATCTTTACATTCCCCAGACCTAGCGGTGTGTCTGGCAAAAAGGATTAAATGCACACTTGTTGACTGAGTAAAATGACACTGAGTGGGAGAATTAGGAACAGTTGGAACCAGAAAATCTTAAGAGACCTTGTTTTTTCTACCTCTTGCAGGTATTTACAATTCAATATGAATAACAGAAAATTCCATGGCATGTATTGAATAAATAGTAAAAAAGAAGTAGTCAATGTTTAATGGAGTTACTCATAATAATTATGAGAGTGCCTATGTTTCTTCTAATTCTCAATGTGTTTTGGTTCATTTTACTGCTTGTTTTATATGTGAAATCAGTTTTTTGGAGGGGAAATATAACAAAAACAAAATCTCTTCCCCAACCCTGAGACCCTTTCCATAAGAGTAGAAAAAGAAAACAATTTTATTATTGAATAGCATTAAACAGAATGTAATGTGCATCACTGACAATCCCCTAAAGGGACTGCAAAAGAATCTCACCTTTTTTATAGCATGAAAAGATTAACTGAGGTATATTAAGAGTTTATTTGAGTGAAAATCTATTAGAATTGGGCATTGCTAAACTGGAAGTGGTCAGGAGCGCTATGCAGACAGGAGCCAGGGAGAAGACACTGAGAAAGTGTGGAAGCAAAGAAAGGAAATTTTTTGATTGCCTACAGCTTAGCCTAGTTGACTGTTTCTGATTGACCATCTTTCTCATTTTGAATTCCTAACATTCTGTGCTTAGGAAGGCCACCAAGACATTAGAGCTGCCTCAGTCTAATGGCTTCCTTATTTAACTAATTTAACAATAGCCCAGTGAATATAATCCATTGCATAAGGTAGGTTTTGCAATTTGTAGTCAGGTGATGAGTTAGGGCCATCTCCTCCCTGGAAATTGAGCAATTGGACATTATCTTCTTTAATGATGATTTTGATACAAAGAGATGGCTCCCAGGTACTTGAGAAAAAAATGCCTGAGTTGTGGAACTGGTAAGAGGCTTTCTTAAAAAGACTTACATACATTTGAAAAGGGGAGAGAGAAAGAAATTCTAAAAGAAAAGAGAATTAAAAGGCGGAAAGGAGGTGTTTCTTCCCTTATTTTCCAACAAGGAGAATTAGGCCTCTTAATTCATCTTTGCTCTTACACAGTTTATAAGTATATAGAGAAATCAGGTAGTGCAGAAATTTCCATATGAATATATCTCTTTTATAATTTGCATAAGTGATTTAATTAAGTGTATTGTTCCTGGTTTTCTCAGTCATCTAAATACCTGGAAGGTTTGAACACTTATTGTGTGTGAGAGAAGTATGTTAGTGGTGTGTGAGATACAAAGATGAATAAGGCACTTCCAGTGTTCAGAGTTTTCATTGACCCTGGGAGACAGATACAGAATCAGAACTTTTAGGGTAAAACCAAGGCCTAGGAAGAGTAAGTCACTTAAACCTAAGTCACACAGCTAGTTAATGGAAAAGGTGCTACCAATGGCTCAGGTCTTCAGATGAGGGTTTGGAGCTCTCTTAACTTCACGTAATACTTCTGATATCCAATGAGGCACCAGTGATTTTTGACAGCAATCACTAGTGGTTAAAAAGAGGGCTGCAGAGAAATGAGAACTGGTGTATCCAAACGTCAGAATCCCCCAATTTTTTAGTTTTTATTTGTATTTTCTATATTCATTTAAAAATGTTTATATTATAAAACATTAAAAGTGTAGATTAATCAATTACTATTAGGTAAATATCATTGTAACGACCACCCAGGTCGGAAAATTGAATTTAGAGGCTTTGCTATAAGCCCCATCCCAATCATAGCCCCTCTTCTCTTCCTGAAAAGTAACTACTATCCTGACTTTCAGAGTAAAAACTTCCTTGCATTTTGTTATGGTTTTATTAACCAAATGTGCATCCCTAGGCACTCTAAGTTAGTCTTGCCTGTGTTTTAAAATTTGCTAAATCTCATCAATCTTAGTCTCAGTTCAGGCTGCTATGACAAAATACCACAGACTGGGTGGCTTCAACAATAAACATTTATTTCTTACTGTTCTGGAGGCTGGAGGCTTTAAGATCAAGCTGCCAGCCAATTCATTGTCTGGTGAGAGCTGTCTTCCTCGTTTGCAGGCAGCTGACTTATGCTGTGTCCTCCCAGGACAGAGAGAAGGGTGTGGTCTCCTCTTCTTATAAGGGCACCAATCCCATCAAGGGGGCTCAGCCCTCATGACCTCATCTAAACCCAATTACCTCTCAATTGCCCACTTCCAAATACCATTACATTGGGGATTAGGGCTTCAACATAGAAATTTGGGGGGACACAAACATTCAGTCTGTAGCAGAATCTTATAATCTGCAATTTCTCCTCCCATATATTTCTTTTCCTTTATGTTTATCTCTTGAAAAACTTGTGCTCTTGACCTGTAGACTCTCCAAGTGGTCTAGATTTTTTTGATTATGTTTTCATGGTGCAGTTTAACATACTCCTCTTTCCTCTTTATTTTCTGCAGGTTGCCAGTTGGATCCAGAGATTTGATTCTTTTGAAGACTATATGTTCTTTCATAAGAAGCCACCTATTGTGATGTTAACAGACATTGATGTGTTATGCCTCAATCAATTGATTAATTGGGGGTTGGAAAATGGTGATACTCTAATTCTGTCAATTCTTTTAAATTATTTTTATGGAATGTTTTTATGAAACCATCTTCTATTTGATGACCCAGTAGTACAATTCATCTATGAAAGTAAGATACATTTTTGATAGCTTTGCTTTATTTACCAGTTTTCAAGATTGATTTCTTGCTCTAATGTTAACCGATTTTTAAAAATATTATGTATTCATGGATTTAAGCATATGTAACATGTGTCAGTTCACCATAACTGTTAACCTTATTGAAGCTCAAATTGTACCATCTTTGGTCAGTGGGAGCCTTTTCAAGGTGATTGTGGGTAAAATTGTAACATTTCCAGAATATCTCCCGGGGCTTTAGCACATTTGCATATCCTCAGGGGTGGGGAGAAGGTCATCTCCCTATCAATGGGTAAATTACCTGGGCAACCGAGGTTGTGTCTGAACCTGAGAGGTTTAAAGGGAGGGGCTTGCTTGCTGGCTTGCTGGCTTCTTCTGGAGCAGAGGAGAGAAACAGCCCAGGCTACAGTTTGTGAGCAGTAAACATTTTTTAAGCTTTATTTCTCCCTTTGAGGTATTTTGTGCCTGGATTTCTTGTCCCAGGACTAACACCCAAGGGAGGTGCTGGCTTCTTCAAAGGTCAGTGGAAGCCACACTGACGGGCTACAGCCCACCTTGTCTTTTGCCTCGTGTGCAGCAAATAGCCATTGGGCCACATGAGAGGCAGGTTTTCCTTTTATCCAGCACAACTGGGCCAAAGTGTCTGCTTCATTATTTCCTGGGGATGCCAAAGGCAAATGGCCAGTCACATGACATACGCTAGATGTTTGTGCCACACCACTCCGTGGCCTTTGGGTCCAGTCTCTCACCCAACCCGTGATGGGATAGGTGGTTATTAGCTTGGTTGGAGCTTTTCCGGCGACGGGCTCCATAGCCAGCAAGGCTTGGTACACAACAGCCAGTTGCTTCTCTATTAAGATGTACCGGACCTCTGCTCCTTACCATAGTTGGACCAGGCTCCAGCCGGCAACAGGAGCAGCAGCAGTGGCAGAAGCAGTAGCCTTAGTCTCGGGCCACAGGCTGGGGTCAGCACAGCCAGCAGCGGTGGTGGTGTCTCCACGACCACATGAGTGTAGACACATGTCCCTCGGCGTGTGTGCCACTTTTCCCCATCATTTCTTGGGGCGCCCCTCCCAAAGATGACGCCCATTATAACAGACTTTGGGTTCAGAGGCACCCTGCTGACTGCGCTAGGTTTTAGTCTGGGGAGAGGAAATCCTGGGGCAAAATACCTCTAAAACTGAAATTAGTCAAAGGGAGAAATAAAGTTCAAAACCCGTTTATTGCTTACAAACTGCAGTCCAGGGCTGTTTCTCTATCCTGCCCCGCCCCTTTGCAGTCAGTACCCCCCCGAGGCAACCATTATTACCCTGATGAGTCATTATTTTGTCTTGTTCTTTAACTTTATATAAATGTACTCTTACTCTTATATTCTACTTTTTAAAAATGACTTATGTTCTCTCATACTTTAATTGAAATATTCCCCAGCTGAAAACTTATTCGAATATTTATATTAAGAATGCTGCAACGGGCGAGCTTGTCACACTTGTGTATGAATTTCCATAGCCTAGAGGTCTAGAATTGCTGGGCGGGAGGGGGCGAATCTTTCTTTCGTATCTTATCTTTTTGCGTGTTGAGGAGGAAGCACAGTGAACTAAGGACAACACGCCCCAGGGATTCCCTGGTTTCTGAGGCCTGGCAGAAATCTGTCCCACTGTCCCGCCCCACGCCCTCACGGGACATCCCTTCACAGCCAGCTTAAGCACCGGATCGCAGCAGCCATTTCTGTTTCCATTCCCCTCCCGGAACTGACGCGATAGTGACGCCCGCTGTTTACACTGCAGAGGGCGTGGAGCCGGGGCTGGCCTGCCAACGTTGCCGCCGTCTCCGCCGTCGCGGGCTGATGACGCAGAGCGCTGCGTGCTTCCCCCACACGTGCCTGGTCTCTTTCGGTGGGTGCTATTTCCCGGCAGCCGCTTTCCGTTTTTGCTTGGTTGGTGGCATCTCCGGCTCGGGGACATCGGCGGCTCGGGGGCTCCGAGCGCAAAGCAGGAAGGCCTGGTGGCCGCCCGGAGCTGGGAGCCCGCGGTCATGGAACACCTCTTCCTAGAGGTGGTCGCGCCACTGCGGTTAATCGCTGCCACGAACGAGAAGAGGCGCAGCGAGCTAGGCCGACTCTTGGCCAAGCAGGTAAGAGAAAGAGGGAGGGCGCCTGGCGGACCCCGGTCGCTCCCCTGTGCGCGCCCTGCGGCCCTACGCGAGAAGCGGCACTTGTCACTCTGGCCCCCTCCCCGGGGCTGGCAGGTGGCGGAGGCGTTCGCGAGTGTTTGATATTTATATATGGGATTCTGTTTCATTGATCTATGGGTCTGTTCTTACGCCAGTACCATACCGTATCTGATTACTGTAACTTTAAGAGTATGGTTTGAAGTCAGGGGACCTAATAGCTCCTCTGTTGCTTTTTTGTAATAGTGCTCATACTGAAAACTTTAATATTGGTATAAATACTGACTTCTGAAATAGTTCCATGATTTTCGTCGGAAATGAGTTTGTCAACTTTCACAGATCCTTAAGTCACTTAGCTAGAGAAAAAGATGGTAAAATTAAGGCATAAAATCAATCAGTCAATCCAAATGTACAGGAAATCCCTTTCTCCACAGTAAATGTAGTAACTAACTTTTACTGAGCATTTACTACGTGCCTGGTACTATATTGTTTTATATTCATTGTCGCATGAGGTAGAGATCGTTATTATCCCTGTCTTATAGACTAAGAAACAGAGGCTTAGAGAAGTGAAGCAATTTTTCCAAGGTCAGATAGTTGTTACGTGGTGGACTTCACAACTGATTATATAAAGCTAATGGTGTTAACTGCCCGATTGTACTGCTAAGACAGGAACTTCCTGAAATATATCTGGACGCTACTCTTTCTCGAGGTTGAATTCTCCAAATAATATAGTAAATATTGATACTTGCCCTCTCCGTGTGAAAAGTCTCAAAGATGTGCAATATGTTTTTTTTTTTTTTCAGATTCTTTCATGCCTCACAGCTAAATATACATACGCAGTTACCTCCGTCTGCATTTTTTCCCCTTGTTCTCTGGGCCATTACTTTTCCCTATGCTGACTATTCCTGTGCACTGAGAACTTGCATATTCTACTGTGAGACCTTGCTCAGACTGCTACCCCTTTCTTCTCTGTTTTAAAACTCTCCCTCTGTTTCATTCTTCCCTGATTTTTACATGCCCAAGTCTCTATTATTAAAGACATGGCTTGAGTTTACATCAGATATTGGGATTGCCGTGCGTCATGCTCCTTTGGAACCTGTTTCTAAGTGGTGTTAGCGGACCCCAAATAGGAAAAATGATGTAGATTATGATAATAACTATATCACATCATTTGAACTTTACCACAACCCTATAAATTAAGCAGAATCTTATTTCTGGACATGGTTATAAGTGTTCTACACTGCACACATCCGTTGAATTTCAGGCTTATCAAATAGATTCGTGTAGTAGAATTTTGGAATACTTCTGGTTATGCATGCTTTTAAAAAGTTGATTGAGAGTTCTCTGTAATTTCACATACTGTGATTTTGTGAATTTTTTTCTTATGAATGCTAAAAAATAATGCCTTATTCTGTAAGTATACTATATTAATTATTTGTGTCAAATGAACATTCAGCTTGCTACTTCTACTAAAATAATACATAACTTAATCTAAGTATAATTATTTTTGACAGTTTGACCTTTTGTTTGTAAGCCAATACAAAAAATCAAGTCAGATTCACATATTAGAGATCTTACCTAAAATCCAGGTTTACTAATAGTTTCAAGGAAACACGCAATCAGAAAGCCCAAGTGAAGCAAGGAAAGATCTGGGATTCTGTGTGGTCCCACATGGCCTGCCTTTCTACACCAGACATGCACTTTCCTAGCCCAGAGTGGATGAGATCTTGAAATGAGGAAGTCTAGTTGTTACCTCATAGCAGAGAGCTTTTAGATTTTGAAACTTCTCCACACTGTACCCCAGGGTTGTATAGATAACTTACATGATATTATTCCCCAGTGTGCCATGTCTCAAATCCATGGATTCTGGGTTTATTTACTATAAGCATCATTAACAAGGAAGATCCTACAAAGAACATTCTTCAGCTAAGGACTTTCCTTCTAACAAAAATCATTAGTCTGTTTCCAGGAGGACCAGTTATTAGTATATTACCACATAGATTAAACGCCTTAACCTACTTTTCCCTGAATTTCCTCCTCATAAAGATTTGAATGGATCCCAGGACAGCTGCTTTAATTCTCTCTGCAATTTTTAATAGCTCCCCTTCAGCTTTGTTTGTGTTTTCCTCCAACATTTTGGATATACTTCAAACCTACAGAAAAATTGTAATACCACAATATGATGATGATAATAGTAATAATAGTAATAATAATACATTGTATCACATCCATGTTTGTCCCTTTGCTAGTGATGCTGAGTTACAGTCATTTAGTTTAGATGTTGTCCGCTGGATTTTGCCATTTTAAAGGCATGGTTTTTTAATACTTATTAAATATTTTATGGGATGATAAGTTTGAGACTGTGACTACATACTAGTCTTCATTGCTGTAGTCTTTCATTCAGTGATGTTCTACAACAGAATCAGTTAACAGTTTTTTATCATTTCTATTTCTCTGCTGGGGTTTTTATTTCTCTGGTAAGATTGCAGTTCATTGGGAGGAATTTTTTTTCCCCTCTTATATCATTGAGGATAGTGATAATAGCCGTTTCTGCCTGAAGAGAGGAAAAATGTTTATTTCCTGGTTCTTTGTATCCTGGGTACATTTGTATTTAACCTGGTTATGAATATTAAGTAGTAGAGATTCTGGGTTTGCTTCCTTTTTTTGCAAAG